TGTCGCCGCCACCGTACACGTCAGTTGCTCGTTCATCTTCTTCGACCTCTTCACTCCTACTGCTGAGAATAGAAAGCCGCCGAATCACAGCACAGTCGTCGGCCGTAGCATCGCCTTTTGGCAGCTTTCGCTACAACGGTGTCAAATCCCAAGCGATGTTCACCGTGCTGCAGTGGGCGCACCCCGACAAGAACAGCTTGGCACCCGAGGTCGGCGGCTCTGTCTACAGCATCTTTCGTCGAAACGCGCGCTATAAGCGGTCGCCAACGATTAGTTTTCGGAGCGCCGACTGCTTTGTCTACTGCTACAAGGACAATGTGCTTGTCGAGCGTCTCCGCCTCAGCTTGCTCGAGAGCCTCGACCGCAACGAGCCCACGCCGTCGCTTGCCGTGCTGAACGCACCAACTACCTCCAAGTACACGCTGCACCGGCTTCTCGATCAATTTCCACCGGTCATTGCGCGGGCGCGGGAGCCGTCCCATTGGTGTATCTAAGTGCGATGACGGCAACGAATATGGTCAACCAGGCGCTGAGATTTTGCTAATAATGCAACAAGTCGATCTTAGTTTGTTCTTTTAAAGTCTTTTCGCTCCAGCAAATTCTTCGACTCAGATCGCAGCTGATTTTATTATTTTTGTTCGTTCTATAGAATGGCGGGTGTATGTACTTGCAAAATCTCAATAGCACTAAGCTCTGAGAATGCAGTGATTCGTCGTTACTACAATGAAAACGCTAGAGGCACCATGCGGTCGGCCCCGTGGCCGGGTGCACGAAAGAGTACGGACTCGTATCACTGCCCCATGGGCCCGGGTGCTGTGCCAACTGACTCACGACATAGACAGAGGGCTCCGAGGTTTTTTCGGGCGTGACACCACGTGCGGCGCGACGAGGTGGATCGACACTCGCGACCAAACTCAGACGCAATGTCGTATCGAGAACCCTATCCTCGCTGTAGCACAAGACGAAGCAGTCGGTCGCGCGCCAGCTCATGGTGACGCAGCGCTTGTCACGGGGGTGCTGGGTCAAAGCTTCGTGTACGGTGCCACCAAGGGAGAGTCGCGCGGGTTCGTTTCGTTTCGAGCAGCCACCGTGGTGGAGTAGCGCGTACAGCACCCGGTTCTTTATATTGGTGTAGCTCTGCGAGTGGTATGAAATCCCCGGGTGTGGGGGGAGTACACCTACAAAGCCGGCGTCATTCGACTGCATTAGATGGAGGTAGATGGATGCAAGTACGCTCCAAGCACATGGCAAAGAAGCCGTAGGTGACTGGACCGATCGTGATCATGAACGTAAAGACACTGCAGCTCAGGATAAGCTCCAGCTCTTCATTTTGGCGTGACGCCGGCACCGGGAGGCGGTAGAGCCACTGGAAGAGCGCAACGAGCAATGGTACGTTCTGGCCGGCCCACGACAGCACAAAGCTGTAGATTGTGACCGCTATTGCCACGATAGTGGGGTCCACGGCCTTGAAGCGGTGTTCGACATGGCAGCGCTTGAGCTGCATATTGACAAGGCTCAATGCGGCGTACGCAAACCAGACCTACAAGAAGTAAATCTGGCATCGCATTTCTAGATCCATTTTGTCCTACCAGTCGAGACAAGTAGAGCGTGGTCTGGAACATGAGCAGCGGGTCGTTGAGCTGCGACGCACGCAATGTGGCGATCCCGACATTGTCCGTGCTCAGCCAGACGTCCAAGACAAATCCAAGCGTCACCAGCGGGTGTGCCAGAACAAGGACAGTCGGGTCGCCAATCACAATCGTGTACGACCAGTCGCCCGAGATGTCACGTCGGTGCCCATACCGCCGCAGCGCACGCTCCAGCTCCCGTACGTGAACGTTGTAGTTTGTATGGAGAAGGTAGCCGACCACGCCCGTGATACTGAGACGGTACAAAAACTTGAGCCACACAAACGTTGGCGAGAGCACCATCGGCGTGTACACGTGGGTGATGGTGATCGTCTCATTGGCATCCGTGCCGATAATGTCATCGCCGGCCGTCACCCACACGCACGTGTGGCCGTTGAGCTGCGAGAGCTGCTTGTCGTAGTAGCACCCGCCACGAAGATGCCATTGAGTCATATTGGCCGATGCGGCGCACTGGCAGATGACGGATCGGGCAGAGGAGCCAATGTACATGGCCCCGGGAATGCCAGCTATGGCGTCGGTCGTGCAGTCGGTCTCTGGGATCGTTCGTGTCCGAGCGAAGACGTGGCGGAGCACGTGGCTGTTTTGCATCGAATCAAACGTGTACGTGTTGAGGGTCGGCAGCGTCCTTCGATTGTACCGACGTTGACTCTCGGCGAGTGTCGACGTGTTGAAGTCCGAAAAGTTGGCAAAGACGGTCGTGGGGAAGGGCAGCGGGGACCATGGAAAGGCTTCCGAGATGTACGCCTTGAGGGACTAGACAAAGGGGGTGTCACTCGTGCCCGTGAAGAGAGAAGCTACCATGGAGAGGAGGTTGAGAACGAGAATGAATCGCACGACGTGGCTGGGTCTGTCCCGGCGCACGACATACGACGGCCGCTCGGCCGCAGAAAGGGCGGCGACTTTGCTTGATAGCATCGCCGTTCAAATATAGCCGTTGGCGAAATATGGCAAGAACCAAGTGGTTAGTCTAATATTTGCAGCGCAGCTATACCGTAATTTGTTCGAAATTCAAATGTGCCACATTGCCACCAGTCAACGACGTTGCTCTGTGCTTCTCGTCTCGACCTAACCTCGTCCCACCAAACGGAGTAGTTGCGGGTGTATAACGTCTTTAGTTAGTTCACTCAAGAAGTGCACAAGGGGAGATACGGTACCAGTCCTGCTCGAGGTCTATAAGCTTTCGGGGCAATCTGAGTGTATATTTACAGAAAATAATCAAAATCACGTCTCGGGTGCATACTGATGTCATTGCCATCACGAGTAAGACAATACCCTGAGAACAGCTACAGACACCAGGCCGACGGCGTCGCGGGTGCTGAGAGACTGTGGGTGCCCGGTATTGGTAAGCAGCGCAGCTGGAAAACACCATACTCGGACGGCGCGCACGACGTGGTGATGGAGCCTTCGGGGTCCGACTCACGCCGATCAAGGGCATTGAGGAGCCCAACGCGGAGCGTCGTGTCCAAGACGTCGTTGCAGTAGCACAAGACAAAGCAGTCCGTCGCGTGCCAGTCCATCGTCACGCATGTCTTGAAGCGCGGACGTAGCGCGTGCATGGTACCGCCGAGCGCGACGCGAGGCTCGGGTCGGCGCTGCCAGCAGCGCGTCATGCGACTCCAGACGCGATTCTTCAAGTTTTTGTAGCGAAAGCTGCTGTACGAAGAAGGGCCGACCGAGTTCGTGGCCGCGAGCGACCGGAGAAAGCCGTGGCCTAGCGGTACCAGCGGAATGGCGAGCGTGAAGGCTGAGCATCCCACAAAGATATCGGTTGACTCGCCCGTCGATCCTGCGAGCTCATAGAGATAGCGCATTGTCTTCAAGAAGACACCGACGTTCTGGCTCAGCCACGAGATGCTGACGCAAAACACCGTGACAAGTATCACGGCGACGGTCGGGTCCAATGGCGAAAACAAGTGCTCTCGCTTCCAGCGTTTCAAGGCCGCGTTGGTCGCGCACAAGGCCGCGTACGCTGCCCACACCTACTCGATACACGTCACCACGACGAGTTGGCTACGACTCGATGTACCACGCGCGAGAGATACAAACTAGAGCGCAGAAGCAGCCATCGATCGCTCGTTTGATAGAGTCGAAGGACTGCGAGGCCGGCCATGTCCGCACTGAGCCATGCATCAATGAGAAACCCGATGCAAATGTACGGGTTGGCGAGTACGAGCACGGACGGGTCGCCCCACACGATTGTATAGCGCCACGTGTGCGGCGAGAGACGCTGGCGTTGATGGCCGTGGCGTCGCAGCAGCGTCTCGAGCGCCGCTACGTGCACATGGTATCTCTTGTGAACGAGGCGGAGCGCACAGCACGAGAGGAACAGGCAGAAGGTAGGCAAATTTGAACCAAAGAAACGCCGATGGCAAGACCCGCGGTGTGTAGGCGTAGAAGACAATCGATTCGTTGGGCGCATCGGCGACGATCCAGACGCATACGTGGCCGTGCATCAACGACGTCATGGTGAGGTAGAGGCACGACCCGCGGCCGTGCAACGCCGTCATGTTGGGCGCCATCGCGCAGTCGCAGAGCAACTTGTGGATCACGGGGCCCGCGAAGAACATGCCAGGAATTCCGACAAGAAACGTGTCGTCGCATTCGGCCAGCGAGCGCAGCGGTGTGCTGCGGTGAATGACGTGGCGAAACACATGCGTGTTCCTTTTTGCATCGATCACGTACGTGGCGCCTTCTGGGAGCGACGTCGCTGGCGTGTACAAGGCCATGTCAAGTGCCAGCGTCGATGTATTGAAAGCGCTATAGTTGGGAAACGACGGTGGCGCATCGGCGACCGGGGCCCACGGAAAAGCCTCCGAAACGTACGCCTTCATGGGCTAGAAATATAAGACCTCGTTTGACAGAGTGCTTTTACCATTGCGAGGAGGTTGAGAAGGAGCAAGCCGTGTATTGCAACGCCCGAGTAATCGCGGCGTACGGCGAAGGGGGCGTCGTGCCGTGGCGCCACCCGCGTTGGTCCGCGCGTGACGGCCACGACCTTGACCATCGGGGCCGAATATAGATCCATTTCGACCAATCAGACGCCGGTATCAAATATTCCACCAATCAAATGTCGAGATCACATTGCCTTTCTACAGCACCACCTATCACCAATCGCCAGGATTTGGTTTTGCTGTCGCACTACGGACATCAGTAGGGACGTGAAAGCTGCTCAGCACTACAGACGCCAACCTACTGGAAGTGATCCTCTATGTTCTAACTGTCTTAGCACAGAAATGGGCCCAGAACGTGCCACGACGGTGCGCGGAAGAGCAACGGCGCGTTCTCTACTTTGGAGGTCGCCGCACGCGTAGCCAGCGCTGCGACAGACACTGTGTTTTCGTCCACGAGATCGACGAGGCGCACGCCAAAATGCCGCGCGACGCGGGACGCCGATGCCGTCGGGTTGCCAAAGACGATGCCGACGTCGGCTGTAAGCAGGGCGAGGAGGTCATTGACACCGTCGCCAACATAGATAATGCTCGCGTGGTCTTGCAACTTGGTCACGCATTGCGCCTTCTCAAACGGCGACTGCATGCACAAAGCGAGGTCGCCGGTGGAGACGCCATCATCAAACACCAAGTCTACCATCGGTGAATCGCCAAGGGAGGAGTCGAATGATGCTACCATTGGCGTAAACAGCGTCGACAGCAATGCCATGCATGGACGCAGCCAGCCAGTCGCGTGACCAGTTGCTCGAGATTAGCGCAAGCGGCATAGACAGCTGCGAGAGAACCGAGGCGGCGTCGGGCTTGAGCGTCACGAGAGACGTGGCGCCGTCGGCAATCACATCTCGCGAGAGACCGGCCAAGACGCTGCTCGCCACCACGCGGTCGATCGACGCCTTGTCCACGGCGCTAAACGTTCGCAAGAAGTTCGCCAAGCCAATAGGATCGTAGGCCACGGGCGGCGACGTATGCGGGATCGAGGCCATCGCAGGCATGTACTCATCCATGTACTGCTGGCAGAGCTGGGACCACGTCGCCGAAGATGCGCCGCGCGCCGCGCATGCCAGAAGCGCGAGGTCTTGGATCGTGTCCTTGGCGCTGATGGTGTCGTCAAAGTCAGCGCAGAGCAGCCACGGCCGTCGCATCGCGCGGCTTCCCATGGACCGCGCGGCCATCCGGTGCATCATGCTGAAAATAGGCAGGCCGCATTGATTCCGAAAAGGGGGTCGTCACACGGACGCCTCTACGGAATATACATTGGCAGCACGCTAGGACACTGGCATCGCTCGTCAAAATGAACTCGTCCAGTGTGTATCCACCACACGGTAGTACGTGTACACAAGAGTAGGAATGCGTCCATTGGAGCCCGCACTCGTGTCCAAAGGCTATTTGAGCTCGTGGCCCGTGGTGTTGAAATCACAAAAGGTGGTGCTGTGGAAATCCCATTTGTATCACACTGGACACGTCGGGTGCTCGAATTAGGACATGTCCGAAATCCGTTTTTGAAAAGCGGACATTGACCGGGCATTACGCCATCATGCAGCTGTCCGAGGTGAGCGAGCTACGCGGCCTCATCAGCCTCCTGCGCTTGAACGCATGCAACAGCCCGCGCTTCCACGACCGGCAAGACTCGGAGGTCGATCGCATCTTCAACTCGTCGCCCAAGGTCGCTTCCTTTGAGATGCGCTCGTCATGGATGGAGCGGCAGTCGATCCAAGCCGCGCTGCCGACGCCGACCTCGACCAACGGCGCCGCGCCGCAGTCATCGCCGCCGCCACACCCGCCCAAGCTCAAGCCTACGGTCTCCGAGAAGCGCCCGGCGAACGGCGGCAACAACCCGCCAGGGAAGCCGCGCGTCGTGGTCTTTGACAAGAAGAAGAGCAAGCGGGGCGACTCGGACGACGACAGCGACGAGGTCCGCTTGTCTCTACCTCGGTGCACTCGTCAGCATGGAGCTGTAGGAGTCGTTTATGTTTGAGCGCGAGCCCGTCGAGTCGCTTCCATCGGCGGCGACGACGGCGCTGGACGCCGCCCTCAAGGGTAGCTCGGGTATGCCAATGGGCCTCGCCGGCACCAAGGCTGCAATCGACTCGCCCGTGCTCTACCTCAAGATCTACCTTCCGAACCGCCAAGAGATGAACCTTGAGGTACATGGGCTTGGTCGCCTCGTGTCTAACGCGCATGCAGCTCTATGAAATCTCGACCGTCGAAGAGTCGATCCAGGCCATTTTGAGCTCGCACCGCAAGGAGGCGCGGCAGCCGCCGCTCTACTACGGCCACCCCGAGTGCTACGACCTGCGCTTGCACGACATGGACGGGTACCCGGACGAAGACTGCCCGGCGCTCGACCGATCCCGCAAGATCAAAAACTTTGGCGACAATGGCGACCACGAGTTTTGCCTCTGCGAACGCCCCGACGCGTGTCCGCCCAACGAGCACAGCCCCGGTACCATCTATCTAACTATCCAACTATCCAAAAATCGATCCATTTTGCAAGTCGGATTGATGACACGCGATGTAGATACGTACCGGCAAGGCTCGACGAGCGGTCTCCAAATCAGCTCGCAAGACAACTCGCTCTCGATCCACCGGCGGTTTGGCGGCGCGAGCGACAAGGCGATTCTCAAAATCTTCATGTTTCTTCTCAAATCGACGACAAGCATATTGAGTTTGAGTTGATGTAGGCCCAACGACAATTACACGGTCGTCGCACTCAAAGACGGCATGTGCGGGAAGGACTTGCTGCCTGTGCTTGCGAGGCGCCACCGCCTTCCCGTCCTCGACGAGTACGTCCTCAAAGTCAACGACGCCGAGAAGGTCCGGCTCGACCTTGTCTCGGACGAAATCGACCTCGACCGACCGCTCAAGCCGCTCGGGCTCCAAGAGGTCACGCTCGCGCGCAGTACGTTGCGCTCTCGTTCCATCTGCTGATGCTCGTGGAAAGAGGTGTACGCCGACGCCCCAAAAGTCTCTGCGCACGTCGCCCCGACGTCGGACGCCACCGGTGCGCACTCTACGATCTTAGAGGCGCTGATAGCACGGCAGAGGTCGATGAGAACCCCGCGGAAGCGCTCAAGAACGTGCGCCCGGACCCGTCGACGTTCATGTACAACGACGTCAAGGCCGCCATGTACAAGGAGTGGAAGGTGATGAAAACCAACAAGTTTCGCAAGCGCCAGCACCGCATGTTTGGCGTCGACTTGCACAAAGTGTACAACAAAAAGGTCGGCGAGCGCGCAATGATCTCGCGCACCAACATCAAAGTGGTAGGAAGACAAATATTGTCTCATCTTGGCATATTATGAGGTTGATGGATTGATACTAGTCGGAGCGTCCGATCTCGAGCATCACGTGGCTGCGCTTCCTCACCGACCCGTGCGACTTTCAGATCCACTTCAGCCAGCCCGAAGAGGAGACGATCGACTACTCGGCCGAGTCGGCGTACGAGTGCGGTAAGCATCCATGTCGTCTTCTTATTGTCTTATTGTCTTATTTGTCGTGTAGCCGAAATCGTCGCCAAGCTCATGTACATCCGCGACATCAACAAGCGCAAGTAATCGCGCTCGTTAACCAAATAGTGTTGTCCCATTGATCTGAAGACAAGGAGTCTGCACCTTCGAAGGTCTGAGCCATCGCTTGGCGACTGGTGTGCAGCGCAGAGCGACCTTTCTGCAGTTTGCGGAAGATGGCCTTCTCGTCGTTGCACCAGCGACGTATCTCGACGTGTGTCACTGCCACTGGTCCGCTGCAGGAAGAGTAATGATGGACTTTGGTGACCACCCAGCCAGTTGCCTCGTCGCAGCTTCTGTGACCTTTCTACATGGTCCACCACGTTGCATGATGATGGCATTCCTGCTCCAGCGAACGAGAGAAGACAAGGGCGATGGGGAGAAGAGAAGGGAATTTGGGGGAAACAGGTATCTCTCATAGATAACAGCTTAGTCTCCAAGCGTCTCGTTTTTGTATTGGCAATTACAGCAAGATAAGTGACCAACACAGCAGGGGTAGCATCTCCGTACAGGCAACTAGGTAGCTTAGACCTTGAAGCCACGGCTCTTTCGGCGACCACGGGCCTTTTCGAACTTGCGACCCTTCGAGCGCACGTACGGCTTGACGTGGTCGTGCGTGTGCACCGAGTCGAGCGTCGAGGCGTGGCCGAAGTGGCGGTAGACCTCACGGGCCGTCTTGCGGCCGCGGAGGAGCACCGTGTTGGCACCCTTGGGCGCGCGGAGCGCGAGCTGGTCGAAGGTGAGGATTTCACCACCGGCGGCGAGGACGCGGGCGCGGGCACCCTCCGTGAAGCCGAGGGCGGCGATCGTGAGCTTCGGGACGTCGAAGAGGCGGATGTCGTCCGTGATCGTGCCAACGACAACGGCGATCTTGTCCTCCTTGTTCTTCATGTAGCGAGCGACACGGGCAATCGACATCGGCGGCTGGTTCGTGCGGCTCATATACAGGCGCTTCAAGACGACCTCGTTGAACTTGGCGTCCGTACGGCGGGCCAAGAAGCGGTAGAGCTAAACATCAGTGATGGCATCAGCGCCTGTGTCGCACAATGGGCTGCGTGGCCGTTGCCGCGATCCGCCGGCGCCATGGCCGCCTGTAGCCTGTGAGCTGCATGATGCCATGGCGGCGCGGTGGATCGCGACAGGAGGGCCATTGCAGGAGGCGCAATGGTGGACGTACGCGGACGAGAAGGTTGAGGTAGACGTTCTCGGACTTGGGGGCCGTGCGGGACTTGCGGCCCGTACTCTTGCCACCAGCAATGATATCCTTACCCTAAAGCACATGCAGCATCAGCATCGTCATCATCTTCATCGGTAGCAGCATGTTCATACCATCTTAGTAGTGTTTTCTGCTAGTTAAACGGAGACTGAAAATGAAAGCGGCAGCGTACCGGTTGCGGGCCAAGAATGAACGCTGACCAATGAAATCGGCTCAAGACCTATCCCTCCAGCGCCAACCAGCGATTATGTCTCGCCTAAGTGCGCTTGGCACCTCCACTTCATTTGAAGTTTGTATGGGTTCTTGTATCAAAGGCCATCATCCGGACCCTCGTTAAGAGCGACCAATCCTCTCAGACTCGATGGGTATCCTGTGAGATTGCATGTCGACGCCAGGTATGGCAATTGCTGCAGGTAAATGCACGCAACTCGCTGCATTGCGTCGCATATGTACATGGACAGCATATCGAACACGCCTTGTTGACACGATAGGACGCTTGGAAAGAAGGTGGCACAGGCCATACTAAGGTGGTTGCGTACAACGATGTGGGGAGCGACCATCGAATATGCTTGGAAAGAGGCCAGTGAACGCGTAAGGACGGTGTTTCTAGTCTTTTGATTGGGATGCTCCTGGAACAGTATAAAAGCAAATGCGTGAGAATTAAAATGGTTTTCGTGAGCGTCCGCTGTCGTGGTTGTAGCAACATTAATCGCAGACGATTAAATTTGGAGAATCGAGTCGAATGGGATTTTTATTTTGGCGTGGATCGCATGATGGGCAGGAGCATGCTGCTGCGGCGCCTCGCGCGTGGCCCGCCTCGGTACGCCCGCGCCGCCACGCAGACGACGACAAGCGCTGCGCCCATCGAAGAGCCGCCTGTCTACCCATTCGATTCATATCCTTTTCGCGTCTATCCTACGCCTGCCTGCCATGATCCCATCCTCGTGCAGGCTCCTTGACACCGGTCGTACGCACAAGTATGTGACGCAGCTGCAGTACCAAGGTGCGCGGCGATATGCTGCCATACGTAGCACTCATATGCATGGGCTAGGCTTCTCGGCGGAGCAGGCGGAGGCCGTCCTCGATGCGTTCAAGAGCACGATGGCCGAGAGCCTCGAGATGCAGCAGACTGGGGTAAATCGACGACTGCATCGTTGCAACAATGTAAATGGCGCGTGGACTAGCTCGCGACCAAAGCCGATCACTTGACGCTCAAGTCGGAGCTCTCGGAGCGGGTCTTCAACACGACGCTCAAGTTTGGTAGGATATGCTTTCTGGATGCAAGGAAGAGGCGACAGGATGGCACGGTAGACATTGCGCAGCGCCACATGAAGGAGATTTTAGACCGCGACTTTAACAACCTCAAGCAGGAAATCCGCATCATCGAGAAGGCGGACTTTGACAAGGTGCTCGCCGAGATCATGCAGGTCGAGAAGAAGTTTATGCTGCACAAGCAACAAAGCGACACGATTCTCAACAAACTCACGCTCGCCAACGAGACGCTCGAGCGCCGCATCTTCCAATACGGTACCCTCTCTCCATACATCGACATGTATAGACCTCGCGTAGCGGTGCGCTTTGGCGCTGCGATCACGGTCGTGCTCGCCTTTCTCGGAACGTACTTTGAAAAGTCATAAATGGAGATAGCGACATACGCTCATAGCTCCTTACTGTACTCGTTGCATACTCGTGAGACTCGAAGAACTTGGTAGTGAGTTGAGATTGTCCACTTCAGCACTAGTAGTAGTGCTATCACTAGTAGTGCGCGGTCGTCATACTTGGACCCGACAGCGCTATTGAGCATTCATCTCTTTCGGATGCCCGTACCCAACGATGCTGAGAGCCCACTAGCTCGTCGCCGGCGCAGTGACAGAGCGGCCATCCGTGGTCACCGCGTGGTGTGCAAAATGATCACGTCGCCGCACCTACTAGTATGAGGCACTACGCAGCGCTTCCCACCGTTGAGCGAGCCGAGTATGCTTGCATAGTCGCCAATACTGTCCTGACGTGGACGCTGCTAAAGATGTACAGATTGTCATGATTACCGCCCTACTGTTCGCTATGATGCGCATACGTCGAGGATTGTGGGTGAACGACGACTTGCTACGCCCGTGCATGCGATCTACGCGTACATCGTGTCAAGCTCGTTCGTCGTCTTATCCAATGCCATCATGGACGTATGCCATGACGCTATCGCATCTCGCTTGACGGTTGACCATGATCCCATGGATGTATGTAGTAGGATGGTCGTCGAGAGAAGACCCGCACGCCGCAGGACAAGAGTACGAGTGGTTTGGGAACGAGGCTAGCTAAATCAATACGTGCACATGTTGGCCTCGCAATCCTGGCTGCAGAGCGCTCATCAGGGTGCTGTCTTCACCACGGGAGCATGGCACGTGGGTTTCCATCCGAGCCGACAACGTGCGACCACCCTCAAGTCGTCGATCCCAGAGGCTCTACCTTGGCTGGGCAGCAGCCGAGGCTGTGGCCGGTGCGAGCTACATGCGCGAGGACGGTCTCTACATCAATACGTGGCAGCACGCATGGTCCGCTCTTCTCGATCGTCCTCCTTGCCCTCTTCACCCATGCACCTTATTGCCTGTCTGATGGATGGCCATCACCCAATCATCCGGATAATACAAATTATCCGGACGCCATTTTCACGGCCACCCCATGCTGCGCAGGTCGACCCGCCTCCATGCGCGGACGCATGCGACGATCACCCCGCTCTTCACGCCCAAGGTCAAGAAGCATGATGCTGCGCTAAGCGCGCTCCAGGAGCAGGGTACATGGACGCTGAGCGACGTCGGTGGTCTCATGGACAGGCAGGGTACTCGGCGCCGCAAGCGCAAGGCCTGGTCGACGCCATGGCGAGCGCCTTTAAAGAGTCGTACGACTCGCAGACGACTCTGGTAACAACGACGAGCTGCTGCGAGAGATGATGCTCATGCGATGTAGCTCACGACCAAGGCCGAGAACCATGCACTCAAGTCGGAGGTCTCGGAGCGGCTCTTCAACTCGACGCTCAAGTTTGGTACCAATCCATACCATCATGCCCATGCATACTATCTCGCGAGGTAGACATTGCGCAGCGCAGCATGCGGGAGCTGCTCGAGCGCGACTTCAAGACGCTCAAGCAGGACATCCAGATGATGGAGAAGCTCGACTTTGAGAACGTCCGGGCCGAGATCGCCGAGGTCGAGCAAAAGTTCCTCCTCCAGCGCGAAAACAGCGACGAGATCCTCCACCAGCTCAACGTGGCGAGCCAGCGCCTCGAGAAGCGCATCTTGCAGTACGGTACGCCCCATCTCCTGCTCCTCTCGCGCTATGAACCTCGATATGTAGCCATCGGCTTTGGCACGACCATTTTTATTGTCATTGGCGTCCTCGGGTCGCTCGTCGTCAAGGCCTAGTAGGGTACGCGATGCTTTTGTTATACGATCCCATACATGCGTGGACTATGCGACGTCCACGACCACCTAGCCGCCGCATGAGGCTCGGCCGTAAGGAGGAGGGATACCTCTTGGGCGGGCAGCGTGTTCTCGGACGCCTCGTCGTCGCGCTTCTTGGTCGGCTCGCGGTCCTACGCAGTGTGTTGGTATCTGGTGCTAAACGAGATGAGGAGAGGCGTACGTCCGGGCCCTTGACGCGCTTGCGCTTGGTCTGCTTGGACGACTCGTCCTTGGACTTGGCCAGAATCGGCGCGTGCATCTTCTCGTATTGCTCCTTGAGCGCAACATCGGCCTCGGACTCGGCCCAGATCTGCTCGAACGGCTTCTTGGCTGCCTTGATGTACATTTTGCGGTCGTAGGCGTTTGAAACGAGCTGCTTCCACGTCGGGTCCTTGCACAGCGTGCGCGCGTGACCTACATACACCGACGACGCCAGCATGAGATTCGACAAAACCTTCGAGATCGCGTACCGAGGACAAAGCAGCAGTAGCGCGCACGGGTGAGCGCAACGTTGAGACGACGAACGTCCTTGAGGAACCCCACAGCACGCGTGCGTACGCACGACATGATGATGATATCCTTCTCGCGACCCTATATCGCGCCATTCCAAGCACGCTCTTCTTGGTAAGACGACGGACCTGGAAACCGTCGACCGTGTTGACTTCGACGTCGCTCCAGCCCTTCCCGCTCACGAGGTGGCGCAGCGTCATGACCTGCTCCTTGTACGGTGTCACAAAGCCGATCGACCACTCCTTGGTCTTGACGAGCTCGACCGTTGCCTTGAGGTGCTCGACCTACGTACATGACACTGGGCCTTTCATGTCCAGCTTGGTGCGATACCATAGCGACCCCAAACGCCGCTTCGGTGCTGTTGCATTTCGACCCCCCGGGTCCGTCGCGCTCGGCGCTCTCAATGTCGTAGAGCACAAACGGCTGATAGCACGGGTGCTTGTACACTTGCATGCCGAGCGTATGGAGCCGCGTCGCAATGACGGGGCCGTCCGAGAGGATACCATTGTAAAAGGCTTTGGACGGGAACTCGCGCAGGAACGGGTGCATGCGGTATTGCACCTACGCACCAAGCTGTGAGCATCTTCAAGACGACGAGCACGGCGTACGCGCAGAATGGCCCGGGGCACTCCGCCGTCCGCAAGGCGCTCAAACATCGATCGATTGAAGAGCGCGTCTTGGGCCTCGACGCTCTTGACGGTGGCCGGTAGCTGCTTGGGGTCGCCCACAAAGATGACGCGGGCGACACGCTCCCGGAGTGGAATCAAGGTGCTGGTTTCGACGGCTTGCGCTGCCTCGTCAATGATGACGGCATCAAACCTAGGACACGACTATGAGACATGTCATTCTGACCGATGGCATACCCGCGCGGCACGTCGTCGAGGTCGCCACTGCCGCATTTCGAGAGCGTGCACGCAATGATGTTGGCTTTGGCAAGGAGCGCATTCGCCGTCGTGCGTTCGAGCATCTGGACTTCTTCCTGGAGGCGGCGCTTCTTGCCCGTGATCTCCGAGAGCTCGCGGTGCCACGCCGTCATGTCCTTCTTGGAGGCCGTCGGTGTCTCGCCGCTTTTGGCCTGCGTATGGAAGAGCTTGATCGCATCGCGTAGCTCGGTGTGCCGCCGCGTGAGCGCTTGAAACGCTTGGTACTTGGGGTGCGTCTCGACCTGGACACGGACCACGTCGTTGAGGCAGCTCTGCTTGACGATCAAGGGCGCGTCTTCGGTCGCCGACCCCAGGCGAAGCAGCGAGATTGTGTTGGCGTCGTCGCCCGAGACAGAGTGCACCTTGGGCGTCGAGACAAGCATCGGCTTGCCGTCAGGCCCGACTAGCCCGTCGGTTCGAAGCCGCAAAATGAGCTCGTCCACGGCGCCGTTGGACGGAGCGCAAATGAGAATGTGGTTCGTCTCGGGTCCCTTGTTGGCGATCGGGAGTACCGAGACGGTGCGCGGCCCCGACGCCGGGCGCGGCTTGAACATCGGCCGGCCGGCCATAGCGCCTTCGAGGCGCTGCCGCGACATGCCCTTGTTTTTGATCTGCTGGATGCTCGTGGCCTTGACCGCCCCCGGTAGTGACGACGTTGTCGACGCACCGGAAAAATCGACAAGTGCGGGCTTGACCACCATCGCCTTGCGTGGAGCTGTGACGGCCGATGGCGTTGGCAGCGAGACCGCGAGAAGACCGCTGATGATGCCCATGATGGTCTTGGTCTTGCCTGTCCCTGGCGGTCCCTGGAGCAAGCTCACGCCCGTCGAGTAGTTGTTGAGAATCGAGTGCACCGACTGGAGCTGGGATGCATTGTACGTCGTTTGCAGCTGGTCCCACACGGGCGGTGGCAAGAAAAGGGGCGTCTTCGAGAGCTCGTCCTAGGTCAAATGGCATTCCGTTTCGCCCACGAATCTCTTGTCGTACCTTGGTATCGAGCAGCTTTTGCCACTTGGTGATGAGCGCTGCTGCCCGCTGCACAACGTCGTTGCCGCCCTTGTACTTGCGCAGCTTGCGCACGATAACGCCAATGTTGGTCACCTAAACCCATCCTTTAGCTATTCTCAGCGCGATGGCACCGTACGCGAAGGTCCTCGAGCTTCATGGGCAAGTCTTCCAGAATGCCAAGGTGGGCCATTAGCGTCTTATCGGCCTCGGTACTCTACACAGTCATCAAAGGTCTGAGAGAGGGCCACATGAAGAATACATACCGGTGCGTCCCGCACCGTGTCAATGTCTGAGATCAAGCCGAGAACAGTGCTCTGCGTGCTCTTGTACTTGTGCGGCTGGAGCACAACGGACCGCAAATGCAGCGGAATAAAGTCGATGGCCATGAGCGCCAAGTACTCGCGCGCACTCGTTGTGAGGTTGCCGACGACCCGCACGTTCCATTCCGACCCGCCAATGAGCGTGTCGAGGAGCACGACGGGCATCTCCTTGTCGCTGGCCGTCAGCAAAAGCACGCGCACCTTGTCGTCGTTGCCCTTTTTTTTCGAAAACTTGTCGTCGTCTTCGGGCACGTAGACACCCGTGCACGCAATCTCGGCGTTCTACATGGACTATACATGTCCATTCTCAAACCATAGGCGATTAGGTACCAGCGTTGACGTGACGCGCACCACGTCATTCTTGCGAATGCTGCGCTTCATAGGCCGCTGCAAATAGGCAAAAGTGACGACACGGAGGTTTTCCTTCATCGTCTCGGCCTCGAGCCGGAGACCAATGGTCGGGCCATTCCCGCCAAAACTAGTTTTTCATCAACACGAGCGGACAAATAGAGAATACGACGTACCCTTGAGCAATGTCGCACTGGACTTCTTCCAACAATAGGGGTAAGAAGGCGTGGCCATACTCGATCGACGACAGAAACGAAATCGACGGCTTGGCGAGGTCGGCGCTACTCGAAGTCTTGAAGCGCGGGTCGACCTGCGACGCCAAGAGGATCTGGCGGTAGAACGGGTACAGCGACGACGGGTGCAGTGGCTTGCGCATGCTGCGAATGTGCCGGATCGTCCCAATCATCTTGAGCACGGGCGCGGGCAGCGCGTCTTTCGGTGGCTTGACAGCTTCTTTGTGCGGCGACGGAGCCGACGACGAAGGTGGTACTGTCGAGGACGACGCGCCGCCGCCAAACGCCGGCTGGTACCCGAGCACCGAGACAGTGCGGCTTTTGGCAGACTTGGTGCTCGCAGATGTCGGCCCTTCCTTGGACGCTTGTTGCTCCCGGCGCTTCCGAATGGCTTCGTAGTCGACATCGTCGTAAAAACTGTCGGTCGGCCGGGGCACCGCCGCCGACGCGCGGTCGAACGTCGTCGTCATTGACTTCTTTGGAAGTCGCGCGAATGGCACAAGCGTCTTGAACGGGGACGGCCCGATACCGGGTTTTGTGAGCTTGGCTTTCCCAAGGGACGACGACGTTTTCTTGGCCTTGGCGCGCTGGCGACGGGCTTCCTTCGAGTACCACGGCACGACGTCGTCGTCGCCCACCTCGTCTAAATCCTCTTCTTCGATGATCTCGACACCGTCATCGTCATCGTCGTCCGAGTCGATGACAATCGCTTCGCGCTCGCGGGCTAGGCGCACCGACCGCTTGAGCTGCAAAAGCGTCTCGAGGCCCAGCCGCAGCGCCGATAGCCCCGCCGCGTCCCCGTCCTCAAACGACCAGCTCGTCAAGACGGCGGTGATCTCCGTGTCGAGTTTTGCATCAAAGACAAAGTCCGATGACCCGAGCTCTTGCGTAATGTAGCCGCAGAGATCGACGACGCGGCGCTGCAGCGTCGGGTTTGGGTGGTGCGCGAGCTGCAAGAGCGGCAAAATAATGCGGTTGGCGGGGTAGTCGAGACACTCGTGGCGGTCGCCGTGGAAGACAAACCAGAGACGCCACATGTAGCGCGCAAAGCGGAGAACGCGGACGCCGTACGCTTCATTGTCGCTCGGCGAGAGCTTCTCGAGCGCGTTCATAAGGAAGAGGTGCATGAGCAGTGGGAACCGCGTCAGATCCATCGCCGACGTCGCCGATGGCTTTTGGATACTACTGGATGACGATGCTTTGGCTTTGGCCGCCTCTTTGACGATGCAGTTGTAGAGCACGTCGGGCAGCGACTCGAACGTGTGCGTCCAGTGCAAGAGCAGCTCCTTGACGCACGTCGGCTGGAGCCCGTGCACGCGGAGATACATGAGCGTCGTGGCCACGCCACGTAGGAACGACGGCATGTAGCTCGACACGAGGTTCTGGTACGGCTCGGTGAACGACGTGTACGTCTTGTTGGCGACGCCGCCGCCGTGCATGATGAGCCTACCGTTCCATGTCGATACGACTAGTTGAGCTTCAGAGAAAATACCGTTTGATGCACGGGCGTAAGCGCGGGTGGGACGTGATGAGGCAGAGCGTCATGTGCTGCGCCACGATCGGTGTGCGAAAGATGTTGCCAAGCCCCCGCTCGGTCGTCTCGATCGTCATGCGCTCGACGTACGGACACAGTACGTCCTGAACCATCTCGAGGCCTTCGATCGCGGCCGGTGCATCGGTTGGCGGACGGCACGCGAGCTGCGCGGCGACACCGACCGTCTCAAACAGCACCGCGTGGACGAGGAGCGGAATCTTCTCAACGTCGGTCCATGAGCAGAGTGCGGTGAAGAGGTCCGAGACCCACGCAATGTCGCCGAGGCGGCTTGGGTGCATCATCCACGTGTCGCGCATGAGGTAGAGCTGCTTGCGCAAGACGAGCGCGACGGTCGTCGCGGCGGCATCTACGAGTCCCATGACATTCGACGTCTGGAGCGTCACCAAGAGAACGTCCATCCAATCCGAGGTGAAGCACGACGCGTTGCGCTCGTCCATGGGCGAGTCATGGAGCGTGAGAGGCCACCAAAAGCGATGACTCAGCGTGACAATGTCGAGCGTCTCGGTCTCGGGGAGCGCGCCAACGTCGGCGGGTTTGGCGCCTGGCAGCGGGCGCACGAGTGACGACCGTGTTGTGTCAAACGACGCTTGCAGCACGTCACAGAGAACGCGCGTGACGGTCGTGCGCAAGACCGACTGGTCTGCGTACAGATGTGGTGCGTCGTGCAGCAAGAACGAGAGCAGTTGCCGACGCACTTCAAAGTACAACCGCACGGCCTCGGACGCGCTCTACTCAAACAAGACGATGTATACCAACGCTGGGCAACAAGACGTACATCTTGGTTTGGCGGCCGCAACGATGTAAGCAGCGGGTCGCAGAGCTCGAGGAGCGCTTTCACAACAAACTCGCGCCAGGAAGTAGTTTTGCACTGGGCGTGCAGCATGTCCCAGACAGTCGCAGCGTCATACGACGTGTGTTCCCAGAGCCGATAACGGAGGCTCTTCATGAGAACTCCATAGCAGCGTGCGACCTACACCCGCCTCAACTAGTGTGTTTTTGGTAGCAAAGAGGCCTACGACAAGGACGACGGGCGGTGGCGATTTCGGGTTGACGGGGTTGGCCTCCTGAAGAAAGGTAAAGACTAGGTCCGGCAAGTTGTCAAAGCGCCGCAAGAGCTCGGCGAGCATGTTCTCTTCCAGCGTCTACAATAGAACGTTGGAAAATAGTGTCATGTCGTTCTTCCTGGACGATCGTACCTGGAAGAGCGCGTCAAACGCAGCCCAGAGCACTTGCGGCGTCGGGGTCCGTGTGCACTGCGTGCTGTCCATAAACTAGCAACAATTCCATATGATACAGTCCACTATAAGGACGACGGTACCGCGGCGAGATCGTACGTGGATGCGAGGTCCAACTCGAGCATGGACACATTGTACTGCTGGTTCTCGAGGAGATACATCCATTCTTCGACGACCGAGACGAGCGGAGACGTTGATTGCAGCTCGATATGACCAAGCTTGGAGAGGACGGTCGCACTCCACGCCCTAATTAGAGCGACTGTGAGTACAGCAGCAAGAGGGGGGCGCACCGCAGCACCGAGTCGGGGCACATGAGCAGCATGTACAGCCCCGGGCACTGCTTGAGCTTGTGCCAGTCGCAGAGCTCGAGGGCTTCATCGGGCTTCTCTGCGATCCACTAGCCACAACGGTCGGCTCGCATGAACTACGGAGTACGAGGGTGCATATACCTTGTGCATGGGCTTGAGGAACCGAAAATCGCGGAGGAGGCGCGGGTGCATGAAGAGCTCGTAGAGTCCCATCGTGAGCTCCTGTCCGCGCTGCTTCTTGACGAACGAATTCGAGCTCCAGATGAGCTTGAGCCGCTCGACGTCGGCTTCCACGAGGAGGCGGAGGAAGAGCTTCATGGACTCTTCCGTGTACAAAGATGCAAGCTCGGCTTGCAGCGTTAGAAGCATCGCATGGTACCCGTCAATGCTAGGAGAAGGAAGATGAGGACCGGACGACGAGCGGGGCGTCGTACCAGTCGGTGCACTGCTGCAGCTGGCTATAGCTCTCGCGGATCCACGTGTCGATGTGGTTGCCGGCCGCGCGCTTGTCCACAAGCTGCAGCATGAAGGCGCTGAGCTCCGGAAGCCGGCCATGGCACCACCAGTGGCCCTTGCCTTCGGCCTTGAGCTTGAAGAAGAAGGTCCCGACGCGGTTGAAGAGCTCCTTCCTCGCGGCTGGCGCGCTCACGCCCGTGAGGCCGAGGACCTCGTCCGCGAGCTCGGCGACCGTCGCCTCCATCTCCGGGTCGTTCCGGCGCTGCATTATGGCCTGGGGTTTCCCACCAAAATGCAATCTATTCCCAGGCCGATCTTTTCAGCCAATCCCAGCCGCTCGACGACGGAATTCGATATTTTAGCCAATCCGCGTCGCGTATTTTCCGATAGCCAATCATCCGTTGGCAAGACGCCCACTTAGCACAACGAGTTCTGATGGCTCTGATGGCCGCGGGTGCGCGGACGTGGCCTGCTGCAAGTATCGAGAAGCAATTGCATTGAATTATCACGTTACGACGGGATGCAAGCATATACAAGTTGACATGGGGCCTGGTGAGGGATAGCGCGCAGCTGCTTAGACCAACACCTCGACGTCCGCATCGTCGTCCTGCGTCTTGACAGCGGCCACCTCTTCAGCAGCCTCGTCCTGCAAGACCGACGCCACCGCCGGCGCACGGCTCTTCTTGGTCGCAAGCACCGCCGC